TATCAGACACGATCGTTAAACAACAGCAGCGTCGGCGCCACGGGGGGGCCTGAGGGGGCCCGGCCCGGCCACCTCGGTCACTGTGCCCCCTCACCTCTGGTGCCGTCTCCGTAGTGGGCGCCCTGATTTTAGTTGGTGAGGCAAGGTACTGCCCTGGGCTGCGTTTCTCGATAACGATTGATCTTAGCGCTTAAGAGCGTTTTCTACGAGTCAATTTACGATCGTTCGTTATTGTTTCATGTGCGTTTCCCAAAAATGCACTTAACACAATCGCATGTAGCCGTACTTTAAGTGATACTTAGGAGTCGCTATCCGTTTGTCAAGTGATGAACACTTGCGGTCTTTGCACTTGACAACTTATATGACGTATTTCCTGTATTTGGCCCAAGTGAAGTGAGGATGAAGACCACAAGTGTGTGTCGAACTTTTCATTACCTGATGGGACACACTTATAGTGTTGTAAAAATGCAAGTGTTTACATAGCTTTATTTAAATTTTAATTTTAAATACTTTGCATTTTAAAATCAACTTCTAAATGTCTGTGTCACGAATCCGGTCCGTGGCCTTCTGGCCGATTGCCACTAGAGGTCATTCTACCATTACATTGACTCTCACACTACACAGACTGTTACATGTCACTCCGGACTACAGTTCCCATCATCCATTGCACTTACACAGCTGAATTCACTGATCACACAGCCGTCACTAACCACACGCTCACCTGAGACCCATTACACACTCTATTTAACACTCTCTCAGTTCCTGTTCAGATCGCCGTGTATTGTTCTGCGTTTATCACTCATCTAGCGATAGCTGCATTACCGAGCCTAGTGTCTTGTTTTCCTTGTTTTCATCGTCTTGCCTTGTCTGTTTCCCCGTGTTCTGATCACTGCCTGTGGACCTGGATTATCCCTTGAGTCTCACCCAATTGGATACTGTTCGCCCCTGCCTGGACCTTTGCCTTGTACCTGGATTATCCCTCTTGCCTTGCCATCAATATACCTGTTTGCCATTTTCTGACCTATGCCTGTTTTTGACCACGTCTCTGTTAATAAAGCCTTGCAGATGGATCCGCACGCTTCCTGTGTTCATTCCATTACAGTTGTATAAAAATATTGATATTTATAGATTTAAGAAAATGTTAAATGTCCTGTCAAGGCTATGGAGGCCGTTTGTGAACTCTCTGCCTGTCCTGTCACGGCTATGAAGGCCGTCTGTGAACTCACTTCCCGTCCTGTCACGGCTATTAGGGCCATTTGTGAGCTCTTTGCCTGTCCTGTCATGGCTATGAAGGCCGTCTGTGAACTCTCTGCCCGTCCTGTCACGGCTATAGAGGCCGTTTGCGAACTCCCTGCTCATCCTGTCACGGCTATAGAGGCCGTTTGCGAACTCCCTGCTCATCCTGTCACGGCTATAGAGGCCGTTTGCGAACTCCCTGCTCATCCTGTCACGGCTATAGAGGCCGTTTGCGAACTCCCTGCTCATCCTGTCACGGCTATAGAGGCCGTTTATTTGCTGTGCCTGCTCCTCCAGAGCACCCTCCAGTGCCAGCACCACGTAAGCGCTATCCTGATCCCCAGTACCGCCCTGGAAGGGCTCCAGATCCTCAGTTCCGCCCAGGAAGGGCTCGTGTTCCCGAGTTAGGCCCAGGGTGGGCTCCTGCTCTGTCTGCTCCGCCAGGGAGGTCTTCTGCTCCGCCCTGGTGGGCTCCTATTCCGTCTGCTCCGCCATGGAGGTTTTCTGCTCCATCTGCTCTGCCCGTTACAAATGTTGTACAAAATAAATATCACCACTACTCATTTTTGCAGCAATAAAACGTAAAAACACAGATTTTCTGCCAAATTATATGTAATATCTAATTATTATTAATTAATATTTAACTTGCATTGGAAAGGTTTCTGTGACCTCTCGCGAGATCTCAGCAAAAAGTCTCACGATTTATTTCCAGAACATGATGCATGATGGGATACACTAAGCCTCGAATAGCGCTCCAGAGCGGTATTCGAGATAGTGTGGATTTAGTGTGCGTTAAGCCGGGCTCACACAACAGGATTGAAAGATTAGCCGAATCACTGTGTTGCTCACACTATGCAACAAGATTTATTCTGATCTGTCCTTCTCGCGAGAAATTACAGCGATTATAGGCCATTTCTTCAAGCATGGACGATCAACTGGCCCTTCAATTGGTCTGTGCAATTATTTTATCCAAAAGAAAGAATAAACCACGACAAAAGAGAATATGGCAGAAACAATGGCTTGGAAGACTTGGACAACAAGGACTGTCAATACTGCAGAAAGAGTTGGAGGCAATTAAACAGTAAAATGAAACGTTGTATTATATACACAATCTATGAATTTGTTACATTTATTTCTAGTTAGTTGATTTGATTAATTTGTGGCTTTTCGTGTCTGTTCATAAGGATGCATGATAAAAGAGTGTTTATATTGGCTAGATTAGTTCCACCTTGTCATTGTGTCACTCACATTACGAGATCACCTGGCGATAATATCAAACAGGTTTGAAAATATCGTAGCGTCTGTGATAGCTCGAGACAGGTTCGGATCAAGTTGCTGACCTGCTCATACTAAACGAGCTTCGGCGACTGCAACGAGCACCGATTTGGTCACGATCCGGGGGTTTTGTCGCAGACTGTGGAAATCTGTCTGCGACAGCAAAATCCAGCCAAAAATCCTGTAGTGTGAGCCCGGCTTTAAGGGCACTGTGCTTTGCCGTTTTTAAGACCTGGGACAGTCTTGCGCACTTACTTCCTGTCGCGCGCACGCGCTCTCAAGTGGCCAGGAAGGGTCAGGGGGCGAAGGTGGCTCGC